CAAATATTAAGGTTAAGTTTTGCAAGCATGTTTTCTCAGCATACTGATTCTTATAATTTTGCTTTCAAGACATGGGTTACCAATAATATGATAGGTAGAAGAATGCCCCCCAAAGATGTATCCATGTCCTTACCCCAGGTACCTCTATGTTACCTCATGTGGAGAAAGAAGCTGGGTAGAGATGTCACACTGCTAGCTTTGTAGATGGAAGAAGAAGAGGCCATGCATAAGGAGTGCATACAGTCTCTCTCTAGAAACTAGAAAAGGCAAGGAGATGGACTCATCTCTATAGCGCCTTGAATAGAATGCAGCCTACTGATATCTTGATTTTAGCACAGTAGGACCTATATCAGATTCTTTTGAACAGAACTCTAATATAATAAATTTATGCTGTTCTAATCCACTAAGCCTGTGGCAATTTTTGTAACCAAAATAGGAAACAAATACTGATTTAAGTATCTGGAAGTGAGGTGCCACTATAATGTACTAAGTCTGTAATTATTTATAAGTTAGCATATATTCAAAGGTATCATATAATATTGATTTTCCTCCTTTGTTATCTGCTATGCTTAGGTGAAAAATCAAGGAGTAGAGTAACAAAATTTGTTTTTCTGTGGCACGTGGTACTCCAATGAAGAAGGCTGAGAAGGAGAAAATTGTGCTGCTATGTCTTAATATAAAATACCGACAAAATAGTGAAATATTCAGATGAAGAATCAAAGCAGTTACTTTTGAGGTTTTAAGGTATTCTTGAGAGTCGTCTTGAGATTCTGTGAACACACCCCTCCACCTAGAAGAGGAGGTGTGTCTCGGTAGACATTTGTTCCAACAGAAGAAAATCCTCTCAAGTTTGACACTTAAGTCACTGTTTCACCTCATTGAGGAATTGTCTAAATATTAAATAATGGAGTTTAGAATAGGGTGTGTTATGACATATCAGCTGTCTATAAAGACATAAATATCACCATAGGAGCAGATTGCATGTAACTAGCCCTAAACCCAGCACTTTTACTTTACCACTGTTAGCAAAAGTCATTTTCTGCTAAAAGTTGAAAAATGCATGTTGCTATTACTTGTTTTTTAAATCTTTAAATTATTCAATTATTGAGGTTTATATAATATCATTTTAATTGTATAAGAACTTATTCTAACTACAACCTGATATTAAGAATACATTGCTTATACAAAAGCAAAAGCTAAGAAAAAATGGAAATACAAGTTTAAAGTTCTGGACGAGCAGCTCATTACTGTGTTACAAAATAATGATAGTGACAGAAATGCTTTTCAGTTTAAAAAAAAACCACTGCTATATTTCGGTGACTTCTTTATTCTTACAGTGATTCTCTGCTCTTTGGCCCCTAACAGAACAGGAAACTGTGACTAAAGCCTCACTATGATTTTAATAATTTGCTTCCCTTCATATGCTTCTTATTCTTTAACACACATTTTTGAAATGTTATATGGCTGTAAATTATTGCCTTTTTGTTTTTCCATGAACTTATTTATGAGAAAAAAAATGTAACATCATTATAGCAGTATAAATTAAAATGAACTGTAAGATGTGATTTAACTGCATTTCTTTTATGTTATTTTCAAATATATATTTGCATAAGGTACTAACACATATGTCATTGAGCTCAACAGAATCATCTGCAATCATACGTACAATGTTCTACCTGCTGATTTACAGATTACTGACAGAAAAAGTATTCAGTTACACCTCTGCTACAATAATATGTATTTTTAAAATACTTATATCTAAATAATATTTCAAGTAAACTCTCACCCTTAATGTAAAAGCAAACCTGTAACAATGAACAAGTCTTACCTTTCAGTATATTATGGTTTTGTAATGTTCCTGGCATTTTCAACAAATTATTTGAATGAGTTTCTTTTCTCCATAAGTAATGATCAACAAAGATTTCCCCATCTATAATCAGCATTTATTAAAATAGGTGACATAACAGGTTTTATTTTTTTCAGGACCAATTATCATATTATATCCTCATCCTTCAGCCACTTCAAGTTATTTGGCCATAAAATTTCTTAGGTGCTAACATTGTGGATTTAAACACATTTTAATTTAAACCACCAAAAATGAATTTGCAAATTGCTTGAGAAGTTGATTTAGCATTGCAAAGGAAAGCGTAATTAGATACTTTGGATCAACTAATTTGCTTAATGAAAACTTTGTCTGAGGAACATGGTTAGAGAGAAAGAAAGAAATGTGACTTCCTTTACTGTGTATGGTGCATCTGCCTACACAGAAATTGCTTTTCTTGCTTTGCTCTATTTACACCCCAGGCTGTTTTCTTCTCTTCCAGCTCTCCTATTCTGAACATAGTACAGGTGGAAAGATTTATAAATGACAGTCAGTCATCTGCAAAGCCTCTCTTTCCTCTAGCATTTTACATTCTTTTCACCTTACTCTGCTAATTGAAAGCTGGCTCTCCTATGGAGAATTGTTTGATCCTGCTCTTCTCTCAAGTGATATCTGATTTCATTTGCTGCTTTTAATCTTACCAAGCCTGGAGAGGTATTCCATGGTGTATATGTGCCAAATTTTCTTTGTCCAGTCTATCATTGATGGGCATTTGGCTTGGTTCCAGGTCTCTGCTATTGTACACAGGGCCGCAATGAACATAGGTGTGCATGTGTCTTTAAAATAAAATGATTTATAGTCGTTTGGGTATATACCAAGTAAGGGGATTGCTGGGTCAAATGGAATTTCTATTTCTAGATCCTTGAGGAATCACCACACTGTCTTCCACAATGGTTGAACTAATTTACACTCCAACCCACTGTGTAAGAGTGTTCCTATTTCTCCACATCCTCTCCAGTATCTGTTGTCTCCAGATTTTTTAATGATGGTCATTCTAACTGGTGTGAGATGGTATCTCAATGTGGTTTTGCTTTGCATTTCTCCAATAACCAGTGATGATGAGCATCTTTTCATATGTTTGTTGCCCTCATAAATGTCTTCTTTTGAAATGTGTCTGTTCATATCTCTTGCCCACTTTTGGATGGGCTTGTTGATTTTTTTTTTTTTTTTTGTAAATCTGCTTTAGTTTTTTATAGATTCTGGATAGTAGCCCTTTGTCAGATGGGTAGATTGCAAAAACTTTTCCCCACTCTGTTGGTTGTTGGTTCACTCTAATGATTGTTCCTTTTACTGTGCAGAAGCTCTGGAGTTTAATTAGATCCCATTGGTCTATTCCGGCTTTTATTGTCATTGCTTTCAGTGTTTTAGCCATGAAGTCCTTGCCTATGCCTATGTCCTGAATGATATTGCCTAGGTTTTCTTCTAGGATTTCTATGGTGTTAGGTCTTATGTTTAAATCTTTAATCCATCTGGAGTTAATTTTTGTCTAAGATCTCAGGAAGGGATCCAGTTTTAGCTTTCTGCACATGGCTAGCCAGTTTTCCCAAATGTATTAAACAGGAAATCCTTTCTCCATTGCTTGTTTCTGTCAGGTTTGTCAAAGATCGGATGGTTGTAGATGTGTGGCATTGCTTCTGAGGCCTCTGTTCTGTTCCACTGGTCTATGTGCCTGTTTTGGTACCAGTACCATGCTGTTTTGATTACTGTAGCCTGGTAGTATAGTTAAAGTCAAGTAGCATGATGCCTTCCTCCAGCTTTGTTTTTTTTTTTTTTTTTTTTTTTTTGCTTAGGATTGTCTTGGCTATATGGGCTCTCTTTTAGTTCCATATGTAGTTTAAAGTGTTTTTTCCAGTTCTGTGAAGAAGGTCAATGGTAGCTTGATGGAGATAGTATTGAATCTATAAATTACTTTAGGCAGTATGGCCATTGTCACAATATTGATTCTTGCTAACCACAAACATAGAATGTTTTTCCATCTGTTTGTGTCCTCTCCTATTTCAAGGAAATAGTTTGTAGTGCTTCTTGAAGAGGTCCTTTACATCCTTTTTTAGTTATATTCCTAGGTATTTTATTCTCTTTGTAGCAATTGTTAATAGGAGTTCACTCATGATTTAGGAGAGAGCCTATTTAAAAGAGAGACTATATCTACGGTCTGCAGTTTGCCTCCTTCCCTTCTCTCTTGAAACAAATCCAATAACCATTTGCCCCTACAACTCCTGGGCAACTACTCCCCACTACTCCTGGACAAATGACCACTGCTTCACTGAATCAAATAATTGGTTCTTGGTCCTCACAATAGTTGAGTCATCCATGACATTGGACACAGCTAGTTGCTTTCTTTTCACTTGTCTTTGATGATGTAAAAATTGCTTGAGTTTTTCTTGCACCTTTGTGGTTCTCTCCTCATCTCTGTTACCACATAATGTATGTGCCATTCATTGGGTCTCCTCTCTTTATACACATTCTTCCAGTTTCAAGTCTTTAAATACCATTCTTAAACTGATGATACAGATTACAGGAGTGAGCTGCCACACCCAGCCTTAACTTAATTTATTTTTTCATTTTTTTTTTAAAGATGGGGTTTCACCATGTTGGTCAGGCTGGTCTTGAACTCACAATCTCAGGTCATCCACCCGCCTTGGTCTCCAAAGTGCTTGGATTACAGGCGTGAGCCACCATGCCTAGCCAACTTTACTTTTACAAATCAGAGAGATTGGGCCAAGCACTGTGGCTCATGCCAGTAATCCCAGCACTTTGGGAGGCTGAGGTGGGCAGATCACCTGCGGTCAGGAGTTCAAGATCAGCCTGGCCATCATGGTGAAATCCCATCTTATTAAAAAAAATCACACAGATCAGTGTCTACAATTGTAAAAACAAGGTGCTGAATAATTCCCCCCCCCACCCCGTTTTTTTAATGAGTTAGAGTTTCCCTCTTGTCACCCAAGCTGGAGTGCAATGGTGCAATCTTGGCTCATTGCAATCTCTGCCTCCTTGGTTCAGGTGATTCTCCTGCTTCAGCCTCCCAAGTAGCTGGAATTACAGGTGTCCACCACCATGCCCAGCTAATTTTTTTTAACCTTAAATTTAAATTTATTTTTAATTGATTTTTAGAAAACAAAAAAAAATGGAACGCTTCACGAATTTTCATGTCATCCTTGCACAGGGGCAGAGCTAATCTTCCCTGTATTGTTCCAATTTTAGTGTATGTGCTGCCGAAGTGAGCTCATGCCCAGCTAATTTTTTAATTTATTTTAATTTTTTTATAGAGAACAGGTTTCACTATGATAAACCTCTATGTTGAACCACTATGTTGAACTAGGCTCCAGGCTAGTCTCAAACCTCTGACCTCATGATCTGCCCACCTCAGTCTTCCAAAGTGCTAGAATTACAGGTGTGAGCCACCGTGCCCAATTTAATTTTTGTATTTTTTTTCTAAAGACGTTGTTTCACCATGTTGGCCAGGCTGGTCTTGAACTCCTTACCTCATATGATCTTCATGCTTTGGCTTCCCAAAGTACTGGGATTACAGGTGGGAGCCACCGTGCCTGGCCTCTGATTTTTAGAAAACTGAAGTTTACCAACCACACTGGTATAGGAGCATTTGGATACTCACAAAAGGCTAACCATTTTTTGCCAGGTGTGCAAAGGGACAAATGGGCAAGAGGACAAAGAGAATTGAGGATGTTGGTGGGTTAGTGATTCAGGGTATTAACTACCTAGTCCAGACTTTAGAACTGAATGAGGCCAGAAAGGTGCTATTAGATCAGAACAAATGGCGGCATCAAAGCCTAAACTCTCTATGAGGTAGCACTGAAGTATGAAATAGCTAAAAGAATAGAGAAAAATTAGGTATGGGAATTTTGGAGTTTGAGATTTCTGGTGTGAAATATACTAGATAACAGGGCCTAAAGGCCAGGCGAACTGGCTCACACCTGTAATTCCAGCACTTTGGGAGGCTGAGGCAGGAAGATCACAAGGCCAGGAGCTCAAGATCAGCCTTGCCAACGTGGTGAAAGCCCATCTCTACTAAAAATACAAAAATTAGCCAGGCATGGTGGTGCGTGCCTGTAATCCCAGCTACTTGGGAGGCTGAGGCAGGAGAATTGTTTGAACTGAGACCCAGGAGGTGGAGGTTGCAGTGAGCCAAGATCACACCACTGCACTCCAGCCTGGGCTACAGAGCAAGACTCTATCTCAAAAAACAAAACAAAACAAAACAAAACAAAACAAAACAAAACAAAACAAAAAAAAGCTCTATATGTTGGCTGTAAAGATGTGAAGGTGGAGACCGACTCAAGATGGCACGGTGAGAACAACCCAGGATTGAAGCTCTCAGTGAATGCGCAGAGGGTGGGTCAGGGTCGCATTTCCAGATAAATCTTTGTTGCCCACAGAATGGGGAAATTCCCAGGTATAAAAGAGATGTGGGGTGGCAGCGCAGCAGTTTTGGCTGGTGCAGCTGGTGGCCAGTGCTGCCGGCAGCCAGCACTACAGCGCAGCAGCACTCCACAGCACTCTGCACAAAGCGCACGGGTCTGGGTGCCCTGTTGAACTGGCAATCTGAGACTTGAGAGGGCAGATTGGCATATCCATCTGATTGAACAGGACATGGACAGTGAGCCAGGCCTGGAGATTCCAGGGAAATGGCATATGGGCCAGCACAGTGGGACAAACAAAATGGCAATCCCAAACGCTCCAGGTGGAAAGTTTCACTGCAGGCACAGCTGAACCCAGGAGGGTGCAGCTCTGTGGGGGAGGGGCGTCCGCCATTACCGAGGCAATCCACCCCAACTGAGGTACATTCCCATTGCTGATGCAGCCTGCCATTGCCAAGGCAACCCACCACAACAGAGAGACTCCGCCACAGGGCGTAGCCCATGGCAGCAGGGTGGAGACCGCAGCAGCAGGGCAGAGCCTGCAGCAACAGGGTGAACCTCACACCAGCAGGGCGGAGCCTCAGCAGGCAAATAGTGACTAGACTGCCTCCTAGCTGGGCAGGACAGTGCAAGGGACACTCATAAAGAAAGCCCCAACCCCCCGAGACAGAGCATCTGAGAAAAAAAGGGGTTTTTTTATGAGTTCTGCTGCAGCAGAATTAAACATAGCAGCCTAACAGCCCTGAATGAACAACAGAGCTCACAGCTCAGCACTTGAGCTCCTATAAAGTACAGACTGTCTCCTCAAGCAGCTCCCTGACCCCTCTATATCCAGAAGACTGACATTTGGTAGGCATCATTCTGGGACAAAGATAGCAGAAAAAGAAACTGGTAGCATCCCTCACTGTTCTGCAGCTGCTATAGGTGCACCCCAGACTAGCAGGGCCTGGAGTGGACCTCAGCAGTCGTACAGTGGAGGGGCTAGACTGTTAGAAGGAAAACCAAGTAACAGAAATACTTCATCATCAACAATCTGGGTGTCGACTCAGAGACCCAGTCAAAAAGTCAGCAACTACTCAGATGACAGGTGGATAAATCCACAAAGATGGGAAGAAAGAGGTGCAAAGAGGAGGAAAACACCCGAAACCAGAACACCTCGCTTCCTACAAAGGACCAAAACTCCTCACTAGCAAGGGAACAAAGCTGGACAGAGAATGACTGTGACAAAATGATGAAATTAGACTTCAGAAGGTGGAGAATGAGAAATTTTGTGAGCTAAAAGAACATGTTTTAAATCAATGCAAAGAAACTAAGAACCTTGAAGAAAGATATGAAATAAGATTCGAGGAAATGATAACAAGAATGGATAACTTAGAGAGGAATATGAATGAATTGAAGGAGCTGAAAAACACGATATGAGAGCTTCGCAAAGCATGCACAAGTTTCAACAGCCGAATTGACCAAGCAGAAGAACGAATATCAGAAGTCGAAGATCCACTCAATGAAATAAAATGAGAAACCAAGATTAGAGAAAAAAGTGCAAGAAGGAATGAACAAAGTGTCGAAGAAATGTGGGACTATGTGAAGAGACCTAACCTATGTTTCATAGGCATACCAGAATGTGATGAAGAGAATGAATTCAAGCTGGAAAATACTCTTCAGGATATTATCCAGGAATATTCCCACAACCTAGCAACACAGGCCAACACTCAAATGCAGGAAATACGGAGAACACCGCAAAGATATTCTGCAAGAAGATCAACCCCAAGGCACGTAATCGTCAGATTGACCAGGGTTGAAATGAAGGAGAAAATACTAAGGGCAGCCAGAGAGAAAGGTCGGGTCACCCACAAAGGGAAGCCCATCAGACTCACAGCAGATCTCTCAGCAGAAACTCTACAAGCCAGAAGAGTGTGGGGGCCAATATTCAACATCCTTAAAGAAAAGAACTTTCAACCCAGAATTTCATATCCAGCCAAACTGAGCTTCAGAAGTGAAGGAAAAAAAAAATCCTTTGCAAACAAGCAAGTACTCAGAGATTTTGTCACCACCAGGCCTGCTTTACAAGAGCTCCTGAAAGAGGCACTAAACATAGAAAGGAACAACCAGTACCAGCCATTCCAAAATCACACTAAATGCTAAAGAGCATCAACATAATGAAGAATCTACATCAACTAACGGGCAAAACAGCCATCTAGCATCAAAATAGCAGTATCAAATTCACACATGACAATATTAAACCTAAATGTAAATGGACTAAATGCACCAATCAAAAGACACAGACTGGAAAATTGGATAAAAAATCAAAACACATCAGTGTGCTGTATCCAGGAAACCCATCTCACATGCAAGGATACACAAAGGCTCAAAATAAAGGGATGGAGGAAGATTTACCAAGCAAATGGAGAGCAAAAATAAGCAGGAGTTGCAATTCTCATCTCTGATAAAATAGACTTCAAAGCAACAAAGATCAAAAGAGACAAAGAGGGACATTACATAATGGTAAAAGGATTGATACAACAAGAAGAGCTAACAATCCTAAACATATACGGATCCAATACAGGAGCACCCAGATATATAAGGCTAGTTCTTAATGACTTACAAAGAGACTTAGACTCCCACACAATAATAGTGGGAGACTTTAACACTCCACTGTCAATATTAGACAGATCAACCAGACAGAAAATTAACACGGATATCCAGAACTTGAACTCAGACCTGAAACAAGCAAACCTGATAGACATTTACAGAACCACATCACACCTACTCTAAAATTGACCACATAATTGGAAGTAAAGCACTCCTCAGCAAATGCAAAACAACTGAAATCATAACAAACAGCCTCTCAGACCATAGTGCAATCAAGTTAGAACTCAGAATTCAGAAACCAACTCAGAACCGCACAGCTTCATGGAAACTGAACAACTGGCTCTTGAATGTTGACTGGGTAAACAATGAAATGAAGGCAGAAATAAAGAAGTTATTCGAAACCAATGAGAATGAAGACAAAACATGCCAGAATCTCTGGGACACATTTAAAGCAGTCTCTAGAGGAAAGTATATAGCAATAAGTGCCCATATGAGGAGAATGGAGAGATCCAAAATTGACACCCTATCGACAAAATTGAAAAAGCTAGAGGAACAAGATCAAAAAAACTCAAAACCTAGCAGAAGACAAGAAATAACTAAGATCAGAGCTGAATTGAAGGAGATAGAGACACGAAAAACCCTTCAAAAAATCAATAAATCCAAGAGCTGTTTTTGAAAAGATCAACAAAATAGACCACTAGCCAGATTGATAAAAAAGAAAAAAGACAACAACCAAATAGATGCAATAAAAAATGATAAAGGGGAAATCACCACAGATTCCACAGAAATTCAAACCATCATGAGAGAATATTACAAACAACTCTATGCACATAAACTAGTAAACCTGGAAGAAATGGATAAATTCCTGGACTCCTGTGTCCTCCCAAGCCTAAACCAGGAGGAAGCTGAAACTATGAATAGACCAATAACAAGGTCAGAAGTCGAGGCAGCAATTAAGAGCCTACCACACAAAAAAAGCCCAGGTCCAGACGGGTTCACAGCCGAATTCTACCAGACACAGAAAGAGGAGCTGGTACCGTTCCTTCTGAAACTATTCCAAATAATCCAAAAAGAGGGAATCCTTCCCAAATCATTTTATGAGACCAATATCATCCTGATACCAAAACCCGGCAGAGACCCAACAAGAAAAGAGAACTTCAGGCCAATATCCATGATGAACATAGATGCAAAAATCTTCAATAAAATATAGGCAAGCCAATTGCAACAGCAAATCAAAAAACTTATCCATCATGATCAAGT